GGACCCCTCCCCGCGCGCCCAGGGTGAGTAGGGAAGGGGAGGGCTGTTCCCTGCCACCACCATTGCCCCACGCCCCCCACCACTACCCCAACTCAGAGCGCTCCTAATTTGTCCCCTTTCCTGTCCTCACTGGGGAGCGGCCTCCGTCTGAGCCTTCTTTATTCTGCCCCCGCCCAGGGCATCCGAGTTTGGGTGGCCCGATGCAGAGGGTGGCGCCTCCTCGGGGTATGGCTGGTGGTGGGCCCCAGGTAAGGGCCGAGGGGGCGGGCAGGTGCGGGTGGAGCGTGGGGGCTGCCCTCGCCCCCGCCTGGCCCTCAGCCCCTTTGCTTTTGCAGAGCTATGGAGGTGGCATGCGACCCCCGCACAACTCCCTCGCTGGCCCGGGCCTGCCCGCCATGAACATGTAAGACCCGTGCGCATCCCTGGGGCTGTGTCCCCGCAGCTCCAGGCGCTGAGTCGTCTGGCGCAGACTAAGGCTCTCGGGACGGTCCTGGATATTCTTTATCCTCCTGGCACTGGGGGGTGGGGACGCTGAGGCCTGAAGTTAGTGGTCAGTGCAGTCCCATTCCCCCCCTTCCAAAGGCCAGGGAGCTCTGGGGTCCACCCGCCCACGGAGACCACCGACCAGGCACCACCTGCGGGTCTGCTGGCCGGCCTGGGGGTAGCGGGGTGGTGTGTATGTTGGGGGGCTGTGTACCCCGTGTCCTAGCCCCGGGGCCCACCTACCGTCTCTTCCAGGGGCCCAGGAGTGCGCGGCCCGTGGGCCAGCCCCAGTGGCAACTCGGTGAGTCTCAGGCTGGGTGGGGGTGGACTGTGGGGCTAGGGGGCGGGCAGGGTGCAGGGTGAGCCCACTGCTCACAGTCGCCCCTGTCCCCAGATACCCTACTCCTCCTCATCCCCGGGCAGCTACTCGGTGAGTAAGGGGCCAGGTGGGGTGAGTAGGGGCGAGGTGGGGCGAACCTCCAGCAGGGGCTGCCATATGGCAAATGAGGGGCCTTTCTCACCGTCCCTGTCTCCCCCCCTCACTCCCACCCCGTGCACAGGGACCCCCAGGAGGAGGCGGGCCCCCTGGAACGCCCATCATGCCCAGCCCTGGAGGTACGGCCCGGTCGGGGGCCGGGTGCTTGGGGGAGACCCCCTCGCACCCCGCGCCCTTCATCCCGCCGCCGTCTCCCCCAGACTCCACCAACTCCAGCGAGAACATGTACACCATCATGAACCCCATCGGGCCAGGCACCGGCAGGGCTAACGTGAGTTGGGGGGGCCAGCAGGGATACCCC